TGTGGGGGCTGGAGAGATGGCTCAGTGGTTAAGAACACTGGCTGTTCTTGCAGAAGACCCAGGCTCAAATTCCAGCACCCACATGGCAGCTAACAACTGTCCTTAACTCCAGTTCTAGGGGATCTGACACCCTCTTCTGACCTCCACAGCCAACACAGGTGCACCTACATTCAGACAGTACATGCATACACATAAAAAATTTTTTAAAAAGCCAGGTGTGGTGGCACATGCCTGTAGTCTCAGCACTTGGGAAGCATAGGCAGGTGGATCTCTGTGAGTTCAAGGCCAGCCTGGTCTACATAGTGAGTTCCAGGACAGCTGGGGCTACAGGGAAACCCTGTCTCAAAAAGACCAAAAAAAAAAATTTTCTTTCACGATTTCCTACCATGTTATCAGGCATACCAACAACTGCTACTACAAGTACATCTCTGCCTCCTTCCTCCACTGTAAGAAATGCACTTGATTCAAGAATGAGCTTAAAAAGCCAGGCATGGTGGTGCATGCCTGTAATCTCAATACTTGAGAGCTAGAGGCAGAAGATTAGGAGTTTAAGATCATCCTTGGCTACAGAGTAAGTTTGAGGCCAGCCTGGGATATATGAGATTCTGTCTCAAAAAATAAATAAAATAACAAAATAAATAAATAAAATAAAACCTATCATTACATTTCCCTCCACATTCAATTCTACAACAAAACCAGCTGAGTTTTCAACTGACATTAACTTTTCCAGATCTAACTCCTTTTGGTATTCCCACCACCCCCTGCACCAAAAGAGGGTTCTATTAGGACAACACAGGAAACACTTCATAAGAAAGGCTATCTCTTCACATCCCATGGGGCTACCATTTCTCCTGGTGCCCATAGGAACCAAACACCAGTCAGAAAGAGGCAGAGCCACACTTGGCTTCGTGTGTGGCTCTAGTCACCAGGGCAAGGCTATGGGGGCTGCAGCCCAGGATGAGGGCAGGTAGTCTGCAGCACTCTCCTGTCCTCCAGCAGCTGGGGTGCTGGTAGATTCTCTCACAAACAGAGAGACAGGTCCCTGTGTTCCAGAGCATCATCCTCAGTGAGTCCCTTTGCCATTCCACATGCTTATTTACAAAGAAACAGTAAGAAATCGTATGATATTAAAATTCCTTTCTTATTCAAGGAGAAGAGTTCAGAAAGGGAGCATAAGACTGACCAGCTCTAAACATCCCAGGTCAACTGACAAGTGTCTAAACGGGTGGAGAACCCAAACCACTGAGATAGGAAGGACTCATCTCGCTGCAGCCCTCTGGTCAAATCTGAAATCCCCCAGCTGTTTCCAATTTAATAACACCTTTCAGAGTTTTGAGTTATTGGCATTTTCACTTACACTGTCAATTCTTCCAAATTTTTTTTTTTTTTTTTTTGCTTGTTTTTTTGAAACAAAGTGTCCCTATGTAACTGTGGTGAGCCTATAATTCCTGGTGTAAACCAGGCCGGCACTGAATTTACATTGCTCCTCCTGCCTCTGCTTCCCAAGTTCTAGAATTACAGGAGCCAGCCATGCACACCACCAGGATCAATATTTTTATAAATGGCATTTAGGTCTAGTCTGAAAAATATGCAAATGTATTAATTCTGTTTTCTTTCTCATATTCTGCAAATGCCAACATGGTTAGTCTTCTCAGATGACTGTAAAATAGAAATAACATCTTAGAAAGGGCCAACAATTTCATTGTTTCTACCATTAGTTAAGATACAATTTATTAGCTGGGCGTGGTGGTGCACACCTTTAGTCCCAGCACTCGGGAGGCAGAGGCAGGCGGATCTCTATGAGTTCAAGGCCAGCCTTACATAGGTTTGCATAGTGAGTTCCAGGACAGCTGGGGCTACAGGGAGACCCTGTCTCAAAAAGACCAAAAAAAAAAAAAAAGATACAATTTACTGGGCTGGAGAGATGGCTCAGCGGTTAAGAACACTGACTGTTCTTGCAGAAGACCCGAGTTCAAACCCCAGTGCTCACATGGCAGCTAACAACTGTAACTCCAGTTCCAGGGGATCTAATAATCTCTTCTGTCCTCCTCTGGCAATGCACGACACGGGTGCACTTAACTACATCCAGGCAATACATGCATACACATAAAATAAAAATAATAAATAAAAATTTTAAAAATAATATAATTTTTTAAAAAGGTACAATTTACTTTTGTAGTTTTACTCAACCCAGAAAAGAAATTTAAACTTCATAGCTGAATTATAAGGGAATTTTTAAGTATCAAAATGAACTAGAACCAAACATGATGGAGAGATTGTAACTTTCCCTAAGAGCCAACAGGAGATGACTCACAACCAGAGGGGTGACATATACTCACTGTCAGGTTCCAGTTGATCTGGGGGATCCTCATATGAAGGTTGAGGCTGAACAGAATCAGCAAGACTCCGGTCACCACAAATGCACTGCAGCTTACAAACTCAAAAAAATAGAGGCCTTCACATGGGGAGCACTCCATGATGGTCTCAATGCAGATGAATGCAATCAGGGCCAAGATCTAGGAAGAAAATTGGAAACATACATGCATGTGTATATTTAGTATACCATCTGTGGACATACATGCCTACTATGTTTAAATAAAATTGAACAACACACAGCCTGCAGAGTTCTATGTAGACAGCAGTGTAACTGTCCAAAGTATGGCCTGCTTCAGTCCATGGGTAGGAACAGGTAGAGGGGTGGGAGGGAAAGGATGAAATCAGCAGAGGCCCACCACTACACTGAAATCAGCCAGGTAGGGCATGGCCTGGGTGGGAACCCCAGGCCCTTGGCACCTCTGGAAGGAGGAAGAAAGAACCATCTCTGCCCTGTTCCTTCCTCCTCTGAGGTCCCTAAAAAGAAGTGGTCCATCTCAATGAATTTACATGCTTTTGGAAAGTGTTCTCCTGGGCTGGTTAGTTAAGGAAAAAAATTTTTAAATCTTACAGTAGAATCAATTGCTTTCTGAGGAAGACCAAAGTAACGTTCTAGCAGTGTGTCCTAAGTTTGATCATAAAACCAAAAAGAAGCCAGGCATGGTGGTACCTGCCTTTACTCTCAGCACCTAGGAGGCAGAGGCAGGTGGATCTCTGTGAGTTCAAGTCCAGCCTGGTCTACACAGCAAGTTCCAGGTCAGCTGGGGCTACAGGGAGACCCTGTCTCAAAAAGACAAAATAAAACAAAACAAAAAAACAAAGAAATATCAGTGGACATGATCAAGTGAACATTTAGAGGTGGGTTCAGAAGAAGCCCAAAGCTGCAATAAATGGCCTGCTGAGCAAGGGTGGTCTCGAGCCTGATCAAGCCTCACCTCACAGAGCTCCCCTTATAAAGCCTATACCACATCCACCTCCCTCCCCACTGAGACACAGGTCAAGAAAGCAAAGGCAGGCAGTTCTGAGGTCACCAGAGCCAGCAGCCCAGAGTCCCTGGGATGGTGCAAAATGCAGAAGCTCTGCCTCAGTTCCTGGCCCTGCAGAATCAGAACCTGCTTTCTACAGGGGCAAAGGTGACTCTGGAGCCCTTCCTTCCTCTAGAAGTCTTGCTCACACCTTTCAACCCACCAGTCAATGCTTCTTCCCTAGGGCCTCCCTAGTTGTTTCTCCCTGCCAGATGTGATTCTTTCCCACTCTTACAGTGTTGCTCTCCATCTCCTGGGTGTTTGGCAGCAGGGCCAGCCATCTCCCCCTACCACAGCACCAAGCTCTGTTATATGTACGGAACCATTACTGTAGAGCCACTATAGCCTCACACCCACCCTTCTGAACTTATCAGGCTCTCCACCTTCCTACTGCCAATACAGCACACCTTTGTTTGCTTTTCTATTCCAAGTCAACACATAAGATATGGATCTTGTTGGTCAAAGGACACAAAATTTCAGCCAGTAAAGAATTAGCTCTGATCTACTGAGCAACATGATGACTATAGTGTTTACAAGAGTGTTTATTTATATTTTGAAAACAGCTAAGAGAACAGGGTTTTTTTCTCTTTGGTAGAAAAAGTGAAACACTGGGTGTGCCCATTACCCTGCTTGAGACATTCCACAATGTACACTATAAATAGATACAAGTTTTATTTATCCAACAGAAAATGAAACAAAATATACCAGTCGTGATATGGAGGCAAGCAGATCTCTGTGAGACCAAGGCCAGCCTGATCTACATAGCAACTTCCAGGCCGGCTGGGGCTACAGGAAGACTCTGTCTCAAAAAGGACCCATCAAAATTTTTTTTAAAAAATGAAACAAGGGGGCTGGAGAGATGGCTCAGCGGTTAAGAACACTGGCTGTTCTTGCAGAGGACCTGGGTTCAAACCTCAGCACCCACATGGCAGCTAACAACTGTCTGTAACACCAATCCCAGGGGACCCAACAGCCTCTTCTGTCCTCTGTGGGCATTGCACGACACGGGTGCACTCACCTACATGCAGGTAATACACACATACACATAGAAGTAATAAAATATTTAAGAAAAAAAATGAAACAAAAGTTATGAGTCTCTAAGCACACATTTTGTGCTTTCCTAATGAGTCACCTCATAATTCTCACAGAACCATAGACCTAAATTCTCCATCTGAATGATATGCCTAACTTGCAATCAATTTACAAAAGAAACAGTTCATATAAGGGAAACTCCAAAACTTTTTCTTTTTTCACCCCTGTAATCGGATCTACTAATCTTGGGCAAGAAATAACACACTGTGCTGATGAGTTACAAATGTTTCTGGTATGCTAACTTCAACCACATTTGTGTGGAAAGGTAACACCTACATTCTTAAATGTTAAAATAAAAATGGCTCAAAAATATGTAAATGTAACAGGCCACTCATAACGACAAGTGAACAAAATAGACAACAATCCCTGCTCCCTAGCTCATAGCCTAATTAATAAGTTTTTAAAGGTTAAAAAAAAAGTAGGCAAGTTATGATAAGAACAACAGGGACAGATTAAAGCAGGGAGGTAGCATGAAGCTGTAGGGTGGCCTTGGGAGGCCTGGCTGCCAAGCAGGTGGCAGTGGCAGGAAGGGGGAGGCTGTCAGGAGGAGGGGTGGTGTGAGGTGAGGGCAGCTGCAAGAGTCTCTAGGGCTGCAGCACTGAGTACCAGGAGACTCCCTTGTGCACAGACAGGATATGGGAGAGGCCATGTGCACAGAACCTGAGGTGTGGGAAGGACCTAGGCAAAGGCTGGAGAACAGTTGGAGGGAGGGTCTCTACAATACTCCAGACGGGAGAATGATATTAGACTAGGAGGCAACAGTCCAGATGGTGAGCAGGGGTGAATTCTGGCATAGATTGGGGGCAGAGCCTATAGCATTTGCTGGCAGATGAGACCTGAGAAGGGAGAAATTTTGATTCTAAAGCTTTTGCCTGATTGTAATGCTGGAGGAATGGCACTGCCATACTGAGATGGGAAAGCCACTGGGAGGAGACTGGAGGGTGAGGTCAGGAGCTTGTTTGGAACATGCTAAGGCTGAAATGGCCCCTAGGCTTCGAGTCCCGTAGTTTATTAGATATGTGCATTTTAGGTTTGAAGGAGAGGCTGGGATGGAGCCTCACTACCTATGGAGCAAGGACAGGAAAAAAAGAAGGCCTAGGGTTAGGCCTGGGCACTCCTACACATCCATGATAGAAGTCAGTTGTTCTAGGTTTAGCTCTCAGGTTGCCAGTGGTCACTGGGCATGTGGGATCCAACCTCCGAACTGGCCCCAATCATCCATGCCTCCTACAGGGCTGAAAAGTCACTGTGGAGTCTTCCCTGCTCTCACTTTGGGGTAACTCCTTCTGGGGGCAATGAGCTGCCATATCATGAGGACACTTAAAGAGCCCTGTGGAAAAGCAAGTGCCCAAGAACTAAAGCCTCCTGCCCACAGCCAGATGAACAAGCCATCTTGGAAGAAGGTTCCCCTACCCCAGGAGAGCCATTAGATGACACAGTCCCAGCCAATGTCCTGACTAGAACACCACAAGAACCACACCTAAGCCACTCTAGAACTCTGGATCCCCAGAAGCTGAAGGAAAACAAGACTACTGTTTTAAGCCACCAAGTTTGGGGGCAATTAGTTGCCATCAATAGATAACACATGTGGGGGGGGCTCATTCATATAATAACTACTAGATCAAAGAGTACCTGCTACTCACTAGCTACCAAGAATCATGCACTATATAGGCATTCCTCATTGTTACCACTAGCCCAAGCCTGTGGCATAGGCATTAGCCCCATTTTATAGATAAGGAAACTGAAGTCCTATCGGGCAGACAGGGAACAGGAGGCAGGGCCAGGATGTCATAGCCAAGACTGGATCCCCAGTCTCTAGTTATCACTGCCTCCCTCTACCACATCCTATTAGTTCCTTGTCTATAGAGCAGCACCTGCCTGCTTTGCATGCCTCAAATTGTGTTCCAAATACAACAACAAAAAAGGTCTGTAAACAATAATATACCACATACAAAATAAAGAAAAATGTAATGGGGCTAGAGAGATGTCTCAATGATTAAGAGCACTTACTGCTCTTGCAGAGGTCCCAGGTTCAGTTCCCAGCACCCACATCAAGTGGTTCACAACCACCTGTAACTCCAGCTCCAGGGATCTGATGCCCTCTGGCCTCTGATGGCGACTGCACACAATTGGTGCACATAAACTCACAGGGGCACACACACATACTTATGATTTTTTTTTGTTTTTTTTTATTTTTTTGCTAATCTTCTCTGTATCGTTCCAATTTTAGTATATGTGCTGCCGAAGCACGATTTTTTAAAGTTATAATCTATATATTAGTAATTTTTGTTTCAGAAAACATGTATTATACATCTTGTTTTTTAGCCTACTTTTAAATAAAGGGAAATACATGTTATTTTTAATGACTACATAGTATTTGCATGTAAAGATAAATAAATGTGCATATCCATACACACCATAATTTAAACAATCCCTAATGATGCTATTTAGATGTTTCTAATAAGCACCTTTGAAGTAAACCCATCTATTAACCAACAAGAAGAAAGGACCGACTCAGCTGGTTGTGTTGGGAGCCCCCAACGTCAAGACAACCGAGTAATCAATCAAGTCAATTAAGTCATTTGATTTACAGCAACTTTGCAGAAAACAAAAAAGTAAAAACTGTCAACAGGTTTGAGAAGATATGAGGAAAGCTACTGCATTTGCTACTCAGGAGGACCTGGGTGTCCTTGAAGAGCCCTTTCCATGTAGGACCTACCAGCTGACACAGTATTTTCAGAGTTGATATGTAAGTTCATATGACAAGGCTGTTAGGTTTCCACCTGTGGCTGTGACTAACAACATCAAAACAGAGGAAGAGAAAGGGAAGGTCTAGTTGGCCAAATTATTATATTAATAATACTTTCCAAATAGTCAGAAAACCCTATGTTAACCACTGACTGAATAAGGCCTCTCTGGAGACCATGCTGTGAAGAGTCTTCACAAAGTTACCCAGTTCTCTGCTGTGCAGGCACATGGTGGGGCTGAAGATCTATGCTGTGAGACTTTCTAGAGGTGGGTTTATT